ATTAAAAACAGGCAGCCTGCCTGATAGGCTGCTTCTGAACAAGCAGGAAAATGAATCCAAACACACTTTGCTTCTTACAAGTACAATGCAGATGGCTCATTATGCTATTACTACTGTGTGGGAGTCCAGAGGGTTTTCTTCTGGTACACACACACTTTCTAGTTTTGACCAACTACTCTAATTCTCAAACATACAATTCCTCAATTTACTGCATAAAAGAATTCTTCAGTCCTGCCATAATTTATCTTACTATTTTATTGTGAATGTTATTTACACACTTTAATACATTTTATAAATATAGAATCAGGTCAACTATTGACAATATTTTATTTTAATACATACAAGGGTGTCCTCAAGTAATGGCATTACTTAACTGTAGCCAATAGCTTATTAAAACCACATATTAAGTTAGGAAAAACTAATTTCCCTCAAATAATCCAGTAAAATAAATACTCTGAAATTTTCCAAGTTTTTGATCATATTAAAAGACCTAAATAAACAGCGGCAAACCAAATTCCTAAGTACATGGAAAAACAGCCACTTTCAGTGCTCATCACACACTCAACCTCAGGGGGAAAGCAACTTTACCACAACTATAGCTAGTAAGAAAAAAAAAAATTATTCCCAAACCAAAAATCAACATAGTAGATGCAGTTAATTCAGGAAGATACTAAAAATACATACACTCATGCATATATGTATGCATGTCAACAGGGTTCAGCATTTATTCACTTTATTCTAGTCTTATGAAAAATTACTGAATCTCTAGCCTGAATATTAGAATGAGCAGCATAACTAATTTACATTAATTTTAAGGAGTTTCACGTTTATTTGTAGGCATGTGTATAAAGTAGTTTATAACAGCATAAATCAGCTCCGTAATTTGCTATAATGGAATCTGACTTGTTTTCCTGTAACTTATATTTTTCTACTTAACCTTCTTTCCCTAAAAATCAGCTTTCAGTTTCTTTAACTAATATTCTCTAGAAATAACTTCCCCCCCTTACTGTAAAATGAGAGAATGTGCTTATGTTTACATGTGTTTTTTAATTAAAGTGAAAAACACAGGGGGAAGAGAGAAAAACCAACAAAAATTTTAATGCAAACTTCTTAACATCGTATTTTGTTCATCTGAAGTCCCATGTGACATGTAAAACTGAAAACCATTAAGGTATTTGACGGTTTTCTATTACACCATTTTAGGGAATAAATGACCATCCCAACAAATCATTTCTGATACATCGTAAACTTACCTGGTTAGTTAGAGGTTGCTGAATCTGGTCAGAGTAAGATAAGGCAGTAACCTGTTGGTCACTTATGTCTGGCTGGCGACGGTCACTGTACTGATGTGAATGGGGCATCTGTGCAGCCATCTGAAGGCCAGCAGCATGGAATGAAAACGACAGTGCAAGCCGAACAGATGGAGGTTTGCATGTTGAAGTCCCTCCTCCTACAAGACAGTAAGTGAGGCTTAAAGGGTGCGTTCATATCCTAATGTTTGTACCTTCTGACCTATTTGATAGTTCTTTAAATTAAGAACTTTAGGATGTTCAATTATATTAAAAACATTTAATACTACCAACAAGGATATGATACTCAACACAACTGTTGTACGTTAAATGGTATAGAATCCAGTGGTCCTTAAAATGAGTATCTATAAATCTGTTTTAAGAGAAAATCTTAAAACACATCTTTTTGTAAAGCAATGGAAATAACCTTTAATACTCATTTTCACATACGAGATTTTCATCAGTTCAGAACTGTAAATTGCAAAAGTAATCTCTGAATGCCTGCATCAGGCCTGTCCAGTGGGTCAGCTCTTTAGAAATCAATTCAAAGGAACACTGCTGAGGCTCTGCTTTACACCTGCCAAGTGTAAGGCAATCAATCTCCCTAGCATCCCCCAAAGCAGGTGAGAAATTCGTCCTAATGGTGCTTGCCACTGATACAGGTAATTAAAGGCTGAGCACACAATACATGGAAACAAATTCACAGGGTGCTGTATTCCTCTGGACGCTTCTTACACTGTCCCAAGAGAACCTAGACCAGGCAAGCCTGCCACAAAATGATCAATCAATACT